TCATTCCTAACTGCAAGGCAACCATGAATCTGTTCTGCATTTCTGTAATTTTGTCATGTTGAAAATGTTACATAAATGGAATCATATAATATGCAATATTTTGGGACTGGTTTTTTCACTCAGTAAAATTCCTGAGATTCATCCAAGTTGGTGCATTCCCTGTTTTTTAACTACTGAGTGATATTTTATGGCATGATTATAGTAGAGGCTGCGCCAAGAGGTGGTGTTTGTCTGGTTTTATCAGCAAAATTAGGATTGCTTTATAAAATGAACTGTGAATCTTTCCTACATCTGGAGTACATACAGATATATGGGCAAGTAATTCATTGATGTTTTTATCACTTATCCCATGATAGGTTAATCAATGAGATTATATTTTCCAAGTAGATCATTTATATTCTTTACTCTTTAAAAACTGATTCATTTTTCCAGATTCTCTAACATTGATCTCAAAACTTTTATACAACAATGTGTAGAATTTCACTTTGTTTTTTATTTTTCACTGATTTTTCTTTATTTAATACAATATAGTATTATTTGGCTTGGAAGGTATACAGTCATAGTGTCTGTATTTTGATTATGTCATGGATTAATATAAACTCTCTGATCCCACTTAATGATTATAGCTTTGAGCTCTCTTATATAATATTAATATACTACTGCTTTTTTCCATTATTGTGTTTGCATTACATTAATATTCTCTGGTCTCTACACTTTTTGAATCACTTCTTAAATATATCTTTTAAAAAGCTAGATCTTATTTTATCTTTGTTACTAAACATAAAACTGTTTTCCTTTTAGTAAGTAAGCTTATCCTCTTTCCACTTACTGGCATATCTGCTATGTTTGGCTTTACTTTTGTTATCCTATTTTTATTTTTTTCCATGGTTTTATTGTGGTTTGTTACACCAACTATGTTTTGTTTGATTTTATCTGTTGTAGGAATTTGGACGAGAAATATCTTGTTTTAAATGACACAAACTGTTGCCTTTTAAGTTTGTCAAATAACTGTGTGTAGACTTTGTTTGGCAAATTACCCAGTCTGTGCCCCCTTCTCCACCTTAGACCTGGCACCACTTTCCTTCCTCACTCACTCTTCTGCTTGGTGATTCTTTATTCTTTTTATTCCAGCCTTGATCCAAATTGTTACGATATTGTCTTTTATGCATCTTCTTTGCATATTTTACTCAGGCTTCTCTGATATATTTTTAAAAGTTTGTAACAGAAATTATTTATATTTAGAGCTCTGTATTGGTTTAGTCTGAACCTTTACCATTACCTTTAAAAAAAAAACAACTATGATTTGCCTATATTTGATTTCTTGTTTTGTGTTGTTAGTGATCCACTTTGAGAATGGTTTTTGGGATTTGATCAAGATGGGTAAAAGCAAAGGGTAAGCTCTGATCTTGCCTATGAGGTTGTGCTTCTGTCATCAGAAGGTGTTCTATTATTGGCTTACAAGCCTTTCTCATCTGTATGTTATAATCATTGCTGTGTGGCTTTCTAGAGTTTAATATTTGGGTGAGAAATCTGAGGCTGTCTACTTTTTATTCCATGGTGGGCAACTTTTATAGTGTTATGGTTATGTATTAATAAGATTTTAACATATTTAAAGACATTCTGTATGTATAAAATTAATTAGTTTTTTAAAAATTTTATTGCAGATAATAGTTGTATTTATTTATGGGGTATATTTGAATTATTTTAACTCCATGGGTTCAATTAATATATCTACCTCAATAAAGTTTTCTTATTATCAAAGGATTCATCTTTAATATTTAGTTATTTAATGATTGTTGCTATACCTATTATCCTGGCTTCTTTTCCAGAAATTTGTATAAATCACTCAACCAACAGCTTTACCGAGTATCAGCTATGGTGCTGGGTACTATTCTGGGGTTTTATCAATGAGCAAACACTTTTGCTTTCAAGAAGCTTAAGGTCCTTCCTGGAGAAACAGAAAACACACATTAGATAGCCACGTCCATAGGTGAGGGAATCTAGGGAGGTTGTATTAGTTAACTGGGTAGTTTGCAGGGCCTCCTGGAAAAGATGAGAAGTTTTCTTTTAGGCCAGTTTTACACTCTTTCATCAACTGAAATCTGGTCCCTTCCTTCTACTTTCCATGATGTTTCCTCCATCACAGGCTCCATCAGTGCTTTGATTTTCCATACCATTTGTTCTGCTCTGTTCATTTCTCTGTGGTTAGCTTAAAGAAGTTTAGTTTCATCCTCTTCATCTGTCTGCTTCTTCTCAGCTTGTTCTGTGGCTATGGCTCCTTTCTGTTGCTTCATAGAAGTCACTTATCATTTTGTGAATGATGAGCAGATATGTTCAAAACTTCCATTTCCTGAGGAAAACTGTACTTTTCCTCAGAGCAAGATGTGGCTTCCTTGATGCGGTAGCACCTCTATAGGCCCCTCAGGCCCATATTTGTCATGCAGCAGGACCCACGGGGCCCAAGGCCCTGCCACCTCCCTGAGAATGGTAACTGACCCCTTGGCCCAGACTGAGGCCCCCAGAGAGTCTCCACCAAAGACGGGCAGAGGCTGTCTCCTTCTTTATTGGGTTTTTAACATGATGAAGAGGTGAGCTGCCATTTTGGTCTTCGTTGCATTCTTCCTGGAGCGTCAGAGCTCCAAACTCTCCCTGTTTCCCTTTGGGGGAATGACTGTGCAGTCAAACACACCAAACAGCACCAGATCCACCGTTTTACTTTTTGGCATGATGCATAGTGAAAGGGAAGGCCGGAATCTCTCAACATGTGGATAACGCAAGAAGACTGGCTGGGGTGAGGGACATAAAGATGGTTCTGGACTGTCTGGGTGGCTGTGAAGCTGGCTGTGGCACAGTGACTCATGTCAATCCAGCTGTTGGTGAATTTGGTGTTCTAATTCCTACTCTCCTACGGAGCACATTCTCACTGGCTTGGATAGTTGACCCTGAAGGATACAGTCCAGAAATGTGTTTCCTAATGGCTCCATTACTGGTGTGCTTTGACAACGAGGTATTTTTTTAATTTCCCCCATATTTTTTGGTGGACATTTACTACAGGAATAATAAGAAAACTAGCAGATACTTCTGATCTGCTATTGTATTTTCAATTTATTTATTTTTTGAGTCTGGTTATAAAGTTATGAAGGGAGGGAAGGCATTATAACTGCTCTTTTATGATGAACAAAGTGAGGCTTGGCGAGGTAACAGGACTTTCTGGGGTGATCCATGTGAAATGAGCGGGAATGGCCCACGTACGCAGGCTCTGCTCCTTTCCACTGAGATGCTCTGCTGTGTCTCTCTGACCACTCCATAGCTGTGATCACACATTTACAAACCTAAGGCTAAAACTTCAGCAATTCAATACATGGCATACCTTGAAAATTCTGGTTTCCTATTACAAGCCTGTCTGCCCAGCTAATAAACAATTGGCCAAACAATTTTTTTGTGCATGTACAGCCACCCAGCTAGTCTATCAAAACTGAAAGTAAAACCCGTGTTTTCATTGCAAAGTCAGAGTTGTTTTTTCTTTTTTGCACATGATATATTTCACTAAATACAATTTTAAGGAAATTATCTCCCATCAGAAATTCCCTAATTTGAATGCTGAAATGGAATCAAACTCTCAGTGTATGTCTCAGCCACTGTGGCCTCTGTTAATGCGATGACTGAGAGGTGATAGATTTATCTGCTGGGCACCATGGAGAACCAGTACTTATTGCCTTTGGAGGCCTTCTGCCATCCTACTGCGCTCTGCGTTACAATGCAAGAGCTGCAGTCATGGAAATCCAAGGCTAGGCAGGCTCACATTAGCATGTGCTGTTTGCATAACTATTTTGCTCGCTGGTTCATTACCTTTTTCTTGGCGTCTCTGTTAAGCGCTGCATGTCAACGTGGCTCTCTGTGCTTGCTCAGGCTTTATTTCCTACCCTAACACACGGACCGTGAGTCCTCACAATACAAATCACTGTCACTTTCCAGAGGGAGGCCACACCCACTAAAACAGGCCCCACTAGTTTCTGACCACAGTGGCTTTTCTGTTATGCAGGTGTGTCTCCTTGGAAATTCACCACCAACTCCAGAGGCCCAGGTCCTGGAAAATCAGTAACAGACTTGCTAACACTCTGGGTGTTCCTGGTCCTTAGACATGCTAAGTGGTTTGTGGGAGCTGGATTTGTGGCTCTCAGGGGACAATGACGCCCCATCAGCTGCCTTTGGGAAACTATGGCTTTTATGTGGGTCCACTGTAAGGCAGGCAAGGGGCTGTCCAGTGCAGCTTCCACTGAGGGACAAAGCTGTCGGCCAAACTTCCTGTTCCTTTGGTCATAAAAGAGGGAGGATCCTGTCTGGCAAAGTTCATCAAATAGTACACAGGGACCATTCTCTAGCAAACTTACAGGACTGCCATCTACACACACTGGGATGTCCAGTGCTGATTAAGAGACAATCTTATTCTGGTAGACTCAGCTAGACTCCTAGAGCATTGCTGGGAAGGACAACGTGGGTTACAGACACAGACAGCCAAGCAGGCAGGAACTCAGCACTAACTCAATACACCTGTTGGGCAGGTCATTTTAAGGAGGACTGAAATCTTCTGAGAGAGATAACAAAGATGCAATAATGTCACTTCGATGAACCAATAATTCTACACTGAGAGTTAGCTATCCAAGGAGACAATATAGCAGGCAGGGTTATTCTCAACCGACCATGACTTTGCTCCCCACGGGAGAGACAGCTATAACACAATGGGAGGCCACTGGCGTCTAGTGGGCAGCCAGGCATGCTGCTAACCATAGCATAATGCATAGGATAGTCCCTCTTTCCAACTCTAGTGTGTGGGTAGATACATCCCTGACTTGACAGTTGTCACCTCTCTTCTTCTTGGCAGCCAGGAGCACATCTTGGAGACACAGACTTTCCCTTACAACCCTCCTCAGTTTCTCCCTAGTCTTCTCCTTGGTGAGCTAGAGGATTTGATAAAAGCCCCACCCATCCATGAAGCTCACCTTTCCCTGTTGGTCCGTCTTGATCTCCCACCCCCGGGGCAGCTCCAGTCGAGTGTCTGCAAACATGTTGATGAAATTCACCAAGTCACGGTTATGCTGGTAGCGTTCAAAATTGCGTGCATCTCGACGGACTTTCAGAATCATGTGCTTTAAGCAGGTGCTACTGGTGAAGACTCGGTAGGCACTCTGAGAGAGACGGGTGAGGTGGGTGAGATGGGAAAACAGGAAAGATCCAGACTAAGTACACTTGGAGCACTTTAACAGGATCTAACATGATTGCTACAGTGATTTACTGTGACCTTGAGGTAGAGGTCTTAGAAGGAGAGAGTTTGCAGAAAAAGTAAAGACACACATGTGGACCTATATGCCACCCCAGTTAGACCTGACTGCTTAGCAGCCTCAGGCACTTCTGGCCCCGTGCATCTCTGTACCCTCCTGCAGTCCTGGCTGCACTTGGCTCTCTTGAGGTCCCCCTCCCCACCCTGAGCATCACTCTTCTCTTCCCCAATTTCTTCTGACTGCAGAGCTCTGCCTTAGCTCTAACACAAGGTAGTACCTGAGGGTCCCTGGAAATTTAAGAATGAACTTCAAAGGTCTGGCATTCCTCTGAATCCTATGTAAACTCTTGTGCAGAATCAGTGCATGAGAAGGTAAAAGTTTTAGGTGTTTTAAAATGTAACAAATGACAATTTTATGGTACATAGGATATATGCATGCATGTGGATGTGTCCACGTGAATGAGTGGCTGTGATAGGCAAACTATGGGAAGCCAGAGAGAGTTGGCCCCATGCATCTGTCCTAGTACCCACCTGGTGCCCAGTGCATAGCACAGAGCCATTAGTATGGCCACAATCCTCATTGTACCCCTGGGAGCTGTTCTGAGCCTGACCCTCAGTGTCTACCTCTTTCTCTGTCATCTCAGCAAGGCCCCATGTTTCCTGCCTATTGGAATTGCCACCTAAGTTATGTGCTTAAAGCAGAAGCTATTGCATCTATCTTGTGTATTCAACTTCCACCATCAGTGACTAGAGAGGGCTCAAACGCCGTCAGTTCCCTGAGAGCTCTCTCTGGGTATTTGGAGCAATCTCCTGCCACGCTTCCAGTCCCTTCCTCAGGTCAGGCTTTGGTTATCTCTCAACTGAGCGGCTGAATCAGCTTCCAGTTCTGGCCCCTCAGAGGCTCCCCACTTTCTGCAGAGACAATGCTTGATGAAACCCCCTGCATGAAGCCCCAGTGCCTAAGACCTGGTGGGTTCCTGCTGCCCACTGAGGTCGATCCAGGCTCCTCTGCCTGGTACAAAGTGTCTGCTGCTTATCTCCTACCCTTGCTCCACCTGTGGCCACAGGGCACTTTCTTATCTGCACCCTTCCCATCACACCATCCCTCGCCTAGACTTCCTGCTCCCTTGCAGGACTCAATTGGCTGTCACCTCAGCTCCCCAGTGCTCCCCTCCTCTGTCTGGGGAAGGGGCTGTCCTACCACATTATCACAGTCACCTGCTGTTTAGCTGTCACTCTAATCTATCTCTGACACCAGCACCAGATCTGCGCCTGAACAACAGGAAGGAAAATTAATGAGTGTGGTAATTATTGTGTCAACCCCCCCAAGAGCAATGAAAACTATATATATGTGAAATCACCAGATTTAAGGTCAGCATGCTATTTAAAAAACTACATGAAGAGAAAATCCAGTTAGCGAGTGTGGTTCAAAATTTCTTTAGTGAAAATTATTTTATAAAGTCATTTAGGGGAAAGGAATCTGGCAACTTCATAATCTTGTTCTTTTAAAATTTTAACGAAAAAGAGGGCAAGGGGGATGATTAAAGTATGTTATGTGCGTGTACAAATCTGCCCAAATAAAACAGTAGTAATTTGTATAACCAATATACATTAATAAAATGTGGAAAAAATTAAAAATAAATGAGTAGCATTAGTATTAATGAAAATAAATCAGTGCAAAGGCCTCAGCACTTGAAAAATTTTAATAATAAAAACACTTTTTTGTTCCCAATGCACGTTCATTGATTTAAAGCTGACAAAACAAAACAAAAAACAAAAACCTCAAGAGGCCACAGCATTTATAAATCCAGCCTTTTGCTTTTGGGGGGACTGGCAGATGGTGAGAAAAATGGACTGAACCATCTTTTTTCCCATTGCATATGGTAAAAATCAATCCTCTTTAAAAACCTTTCTCTAGATCAAGGTGGGGCCAGGCCAGGCCCTCTGTCTTGAGCACTCACGTAATTGGCGTGCAGCACGGTGAAGAACTCAGGGTTGGTGATGAACTTGACGGCAGGCGACTGCAACAGCAAGGTGATTTTCTGTGAATTCACTGGAGAAAGTGAGCCTTCCCTCCTTAGATCTGGAAAAAGTGGAGCAGAGGAACAGAATACATTGCGAAAAATTCATTTCAAACGTGGCACAGTGGTACCTTGGTTCATGAAGTGAATTTATCCTGTGACTTTGGAAAAGATGACCATATCCACGGCCACGTGGGAAAGATGACTGTGGTCGTGTTCGCCACCCGATGCAACAAAAAATTTGCCCAGTGCTTCTGCTTGTGAACCGAACTGTTGACCAACAGAAGCATTCACGAACCAAGGTAGCATCGTATAGTATTTTCCTTCCCGCAAGCATCAGCATCAGCATCAGCATCAGCATCAGCATCAGCATCAGCATCATCATCAGCAGCAGCAGCACACCGACCTTCACCCACATACCACAGCAGACGCTGTTTTAATATTGACACACTCAGGTGTCCCACGGGTATTCCCCACCAGAACGCTTGGGACCAGAAGTGTTTTGAAGTTTTTTAGATCCTGCAGATGCATAATGAGATGCTCTGAAGATGAAACCCTTTTAGCCTGGAACTCCTTTATGTTTCATATATGCCTCACACACAGAGCCTGAAGGTAATTCTATACAGTATCTTTACTAATTTTGGCTTTCACAGCATCTGAATTTTGGCTTTTGAATCAGAGATACTCAACTTGTGTTGCTTTCTGTGAGTCAGTTAAGAAATCATTATTTTCTCCTCGGGTTCCTGCATACTTGTTAGATTGAGTCCTTAGTATCTCCTGCCTAAGAGGAGACTCTTAGGTCTAGGGACTTTTTTCTTATTTTTGTTACAAGTTGTTAGCCATGGCTATGAGTGAGTGAGTGCAGAAAGGCTCGCAATTTTCCCTGCCCTGTATCACACTCCTGTGCCAAGGGGTGCTTTTCTTCCTCTTGCTGAATCAGAGGTGGCCTTGTGGTCTGCTTCAACTAGGCGCCTGTGGCAGAAGTGGCAAATTGAGTCAAGGCTTAAAGAGGCCTATATGTCTTTCTTCTATCCTTGCTATTACCATGGAAACAAGTTCCATGAGTCTGTTGAGAGCTGGGGCCTTCTCAGATTGGCCAGCCCACACTCAATGCAACATCCTATGACATCCTACTATAAGCCCTGTGGCATTCTGCTACCCAGCCAGCTGAGCTCACACTGTCGACCTGCAGAACCAGAGTTTGTGTTATGGTTGGAATCTGCAGTGCTCCCCCTGCCAAAGCTCACAGTGCTGAAGGCTCAGTCTGTGCTAAGATGAGATCTCCATAGATGAGATCACAATCGGATGGCATTGTGGGAGTGCAATGGGAGTGTGTCATGGGGATAGGACTGTGGGGACTGTATCTGGTTCCCAGTTGTTCTGCTCTCTCTCTCTCTCTCTCTCTCTCTGCGCCTGAAAGCAGTGAGTAACTTTGCTCTACCACACTATTCTGCCATGATGTTTCTGCCTCACCATTGGCCTAAAGTGGTAAAGTGGATCACATGGACTGAACCCTCTGAGGCCATTAACCAAAATTAATCTCTCAAGTTGATATTCTTAGGTATTTTATGACAGACATGGCAAGTGGACTCACACAACATTACACAGTAAATGCCACGTGATTCACCACCAAACCCAGAAGTCAATTTTCTGTTCCTTTTTTCTTCATGTTAATTAAAGCTGTTGGTGGAACTGTGTATGCATGCTTAAGACATCACACAGAAATGCCCTGTGTCTACTTTGCCAGATGCCTGAAATGCAGCAGGATGGGAATCACAATGTCTGCTTGCCTACTGTGTAAGCCCTCTTTTGACAACTAAATTTGCCTTCATGTAATTGAAGAAGGAAGTGTATCCTCAGGATGTCACTGTGATAATTTTATATGGCACAGAAAGTAGAACCCAGTCTCATGTGTTTTGAATATCCTTGGGTTCTACTCTGGGACACTCAAAAAAATGAAGACGAAGAAAGCTAGGAAAAGTAGACCGTAGGTGGATGTCCTGTAGCAGGCAAAACATGCTCTTGAACATGAACATACCCACAGCGCCTTGGAAAACCTCTTTGTCCCCTGTTTCTTCCTTTGAGAGAACTGAGTTTTATTCTAAATGCAGACAGGTAATTATTCCTAGTGTTCTTTTGACACAGAATGTACATTTTTATTGCGTGTTTATTAATAATTGGAAAATTTTCAGGAAACCAGCAGATAAATGTGCTTAGCAATGCATGATTAGGCCATCATATAAGATGCCTTGTTGCACAAGTACCCTAGCAAAGTCAGTCCCATCCCAGGATCATCTGCTTCCTGTCTCCAAACCCTCAAGCCCTGGTGGCAATAGTGCTGCATCCTCTGTGTGTCCTGCCAGCTTCCATGGTGGACAGGAAGTTCTGTTGTCTGCTTTCCCCAGTGGGCCCCACGCCTTTTTTTCTTCCACCCTGATCCTCCGCTCATTCTGCTGCTCCCATATACCAGGGTAAGAGGGCTGCACACTTCTGTCACACAGCCATCAGGTGCCATCACTGGTGTCTGGGGATCCTTCCTCCAATACCTAGATTTGACTGGAAAGATTCAGCCTCCGAGTCACTCCCTCCGCCTCCACCTCCGCCGGCTGGGACTTGCTCACAGTTTTGGCTGCCAGAATCTTCCTCGGGCCTCTCTGTTGCGATGGTTCGCTGAATATTTTGATACCTTTGCATAAGAAAAACGGAAAAGAGCAGTTAATTTTCATCTGCTTGCTTGCTGGAAGCAGATGCTCTGAATCAGACAACTGGGGAATCTGTAAAGAACTTCTCAAGAGACAGCCAAAATAATTAGCAGGACCAGTATCTTTAGATTATTTGACTTCTTTCTGTTTTGTAAGCTATAATGAGTTTTAAGTATGATGATCTTTAAAAAATCAACACAAATAATAACTAATCATGTAAATAGCTTGTGCCCTGCATTAGAAAAAAAAAAAAACCTAACAGACTAAGTCTGAAATCAGAATGTGAGAAGCAAATTAAAATGTTACAGTCCAAGTGTATGGAATTACCTCTAAATTAGTATAGTAAGTACACAAATCAGAATAGTTGTTCTCACATTTTTATTTGATGGGTAACTGACATGGCTGGGCAGAGGTTATAGAAAGTATACACCCATAAGCATACTGGCAGACAAAATATTAGCTGTTTAGTTTAAGGTTCATTGTTTTTTCTAAGTTGAGGATCATATCAGGTGGTTTAACCCATCAGTCATCCTAGCAAGTACTAAATACTGTCCTTCTGCTGTGTGTAGGTTCTAAGCTAGACATACAGATGACAGAGAGGAGTAGAATATGCCACTGCCCCTGGAACACAGTCACTGGGCTGAAATTGAGCAAAGCAGGGAAGTGATATGCAAACAACTCTAGCTGAGAAGGTCTGTCCTGGACATGTAAGAGACCAGTGGGAACACACAAGGTAGACGCAAGAAGACCGATACCAGAAGGTAGATACATTTTGAAGTCAGAGGGTAAACTTTTCAGGATGCTTTTCTGCAAAGAACATTTTCAGAAGAGAAAATAGGGTGCACGTAGAGCACCACGGGAGAGTTCTGAGAAGCTCAGGGGTGACATGAGGTGCATGCGCAGTGGGACGTGAGAGGGAGGGAGGGGGCAACCCGTGTGCACCTCGGCAACAGTATGCATTCAGGTGTCCCAAGCTGAGCAGCATCAGAATCAACGTGGGACTTGATTCCTGGACCCCACGCCAGAGTCTGATTGGGTAGTTCTGGGGTTGGGCTAAAGAATCTGCATTTCTGATCTGTACTGCATCTGTTCCCAGGTGACCCTGAGGCACAGGTCCAGAGGTCGACACTCAGTGAAGAGTCATTGCAAAGACACAGAGACAGTTCCAGGTTCACCCTGAGAATGATTGGCCCATGCTGGCGTGGAGGGTGAGTGGAGAAGACCCTGGGTCCAGGGGAGTAGTGTGGCCGCTACTGGGACAGTCTTGGCTGTAGATGCTGACGGCCAACCCAGGTGGGGGGGGCGGAGCCATTAGTGAGGGGGCACCCGCACACCGCAGGGCTTCTTAGGACAGTGGTATCTGCTAGCGGGATCTCAGAACATTCCTATGCTCCTCTGCCTCTCTGTCTGCTTCATGGGTTCTTCTATAGACAGAGTCCAGCCATCTACTTTCTCTCTGGCCCACCCTCCTCCCTCATTCCAAGTGGCCTCTTTGCTCTCCCCATGACTTCTGTTTGAATAAAGGCTCTCCAGCCTCCCAGGGTGACAAGACCAGGACTGGAATTTCCCTTTCCTGAAGGCAGAGTGGGGATGAGTAAAAGGGCCACAGCAAGACATATTTGGTGGCAGTATCTAATATTTTTACCAGCAGATCCAATAGTTTTAGGGCCTTGCTAGATAAGGATGTTGAAGAGACAACTGTGAAGTTCAAGGCTTCTGCTTGGACCAGGTGGCTGAAGGACAGTAGGGAAGAAGATGGATCCTTGAAGGAGTGAGATTTTGGGTGCAATGTGACACATTGATTTGGAAGTCCTGAGGCTTGCAGCAGTCACAATGCTCAGGAGAATTTTACTTAGATGGCTCTTGTGCTCAGGAAAGCAATGGGGAGGTGAAGGAGGAGAAAGAGGAGGAGGAGGAGGAGGAGGAGGAGGAGGAGGAGGAAGAGGAGGAGGAGGAAAGAGTCCAAGTAGCAGGGGACAATCAGGTGTCCAAGTGAAGTCTTAGGTCAAGCAAGAGGGACACCCAGCACTGCACTGATGGGGGCCTAAGGTTTTTAAGACCAGCTCTACATTCTTTCCTTGACCTTACAGGGGGCTTCCTTGGTGTGGTCTCCAGACTACTTGCAAGAGAACTGTCAGGGTAACTGTCAGAGTTAAACACTTAGGACAACAGCCAGCATCCACCATCAAATACATCGCCTCCAGCCCTAGTTATCCTAACCAAACCATGAGACAAGTCAAGAGACAGTGCTTAGCTGGGCCCAGGCAACCAGAACCATGAGAAATAATGGTAGCAATTGTAATAAATGACTGTGGTTGATTTAGGCTGCTATGTGTCAGGAAGTTTGTGTCTCAGCAAAACCGCCCCAACAGGGCTTCAACAAAGAGCAAGCTGTAAGCTCTCTATTCCTTCCTGAAGTGCAGTGACCACAGCAGAGACTTTTCATGAGTAATTATGATCTTACTTGAAAATGTAAATGTCAGTGAGGTCACAGTCTCCTCCACACGTCCTCAGCTGAGCCCTGATTATCTCGGGCTTTGTTAGGTCAACAAACAGCCTCAGATACTGGTGTTAGACATTTTTGATCTCTGCTGAAGCCCCGGAGAAGTTTTGGGGGAAGCAGCGCACATGGAGTTGGTAAATAAAAGAGGAAAAGGGAAGAGGAAGTCTTCTGTTTCATCAACAATTATTTGTGAGTGTTCTCTCTCTCTCTCTCTGTCCCCCTCCCTCCCTGCAGCAAAAAGTTAAACACTAATAGTACATTAATAGGAAAATTATCATAGTGTATCAATAGGGAAATTGGTAAAAAAAGGTTGAAATACGTAATTTGTAAACACACAATTTAGTGTGTGTGTATGGGGGGGAACCTGAAAACCTAGAAACAGACAGTTCACATGGGAATAACTATAGTTTTTAGAGAAAATATTGAAGGAAAAAGTTGACACTCCAAGAATAAAGTTCCAAAATCCCAAGGATACCTCCTAAATAAGTGATGAGATGGAAGTCAAGTTGTTGTTGGCAGAGTGACCCCAAGACCACATTAGTAAGCAGCTGTTGGCATTAGACACCCAAACCGTGTTTACCTCCCTGGGCATGCTCTGTAGCCAGCAGAGTCCTCAGGGGAGGCTCTACCACAAGGCGATCTCAGTGTGGAGCAGTGCCCTTGCTGGCCAAGTAAAATACAGTGATAGGAGTGATAGGGAAATCATCTAATAGTTTTAGAAACTAAATTAAAGCCATTCAGTGAGATATTTATAAGCATTTAAAAGTTAATATGAAGACTTATGCAGCAATGTAAAAGATGATTATAGTGTCTTGAGTGAAAACTGAATGTCTAAGTGTATTTTACTATTACAACTCTGTGAGAATTGTGGATGCATTTTTAATGTGCATTGCAATTTTAAATGGTTTTTTTTTAAAAAAAGCTTAATCCTTGGGATTGTAGATTATTTTTTACCATTTAATTTTTTTTAATCTCCCTTACAATTTTATACAAGCAATTTAAAAAATCAGCTTTAGTTGGTCATTTAAAATGAGACTACATTGCTTCTTGGTCTTTCGGCTAAGATCAAGTGTAGTATTTGTTCTTAGCAGTTTAAAAGGAGAATGCACATTTTCGTCTTCTGCTTGCTCACTACATGCATGTGAAAGTGGAGTGATTTGTTCTGGATATTCCAAAAGGATAGGAACTAACTCAGGGAAGCATCTTGTACCAACTCCTATTATATTTCAGTATCATGTTAAGTAATGGGAAGAGCAGAAGAGAAAATAGCATAGGAAGGTAAGGCGTGAACTACAGACGTGCACATTCCCGTGGCCGGAGGGGGCAGTCCCTGCCTCTGTGGCATGGAGGATTCTGGGAAGGGTCACAGGGCACATGATGCCCACATTTGGCCGGTAGCTGAGGAGACGGGTCCTGGTGGGAGGCAGGTAGTGCGGGACCTCTCTGTGGCAGAAGCCTGCAGTCAAGCCACAAAGGCTTGCGAGGGAGTGCCACATTTGCAAAGTGGCTCAGTCTGACCTTGGTCCATGCAGGTGACCACAAGAGCTCACACGCTGTCTGCTGGCCCTCTGCATTTCTTATTACCAGCATATCTGATGGTCACAATCACAGGGACTCAGGGGATAGTTCTTCTTCCAACGTTAAGATTTATTTCTGGTTTGTGGTGAGCTGGTGACCCTTGGAAATTTCTCCTGATAACTGCTGGTTATCAGAAAATGACCTCTGTGCGGATCGCAGGTGAGCTAGACAAAAAGACTTGTTGCGTGCTGTCTGTGGTTGCTCTTATCATGCCAAATCACTGAAAACATTAAATGCTTGAAGGCAATAGGTTCAGATAAATATTAAGAAGCCTGGATTTTTATTTGAAGGTTATCTGACCTCCTCTAGTAGGAGGTTTTTCACAAGAATAAGTACTTTCTTGAATTGCTAAATTCCATTTTCTTTATCAGTTCAGACAAACTACAAATACGGCTTCTTATTTGGCAAAGTCTGGCTTGTTCCTCCTAGTGCATTTAGCCCACTGGAGGACACAGGAACCGATATATGAAAAGTTGCAAAAGTTTTTGAGAGGTCTGGTTCTAGTTGGATTTGGCCTAATCCACCCCCCCCCACCCGGCTCTATACTGGAGATTGAATCCAGGGTCTTCACACTGAGTTCTGGCTGTAGCCTTTCTCTAAAATTTTTAAGACCCAGTCTTGCTAAGTTGCCAGACTGGGTTCAAACTAAATCATTAAGTTTTCCAGACTGGATCCTCCTGCCTCAGCCCCCAGAGTGCTTGGGTTTACAGGTGAGTCCAGCTGCCTTGGTCTAAATTTTATATTCCACAACCTAAACATAATGAACTTTTACGGATTTTTTTATGCATAGGACAAAAATCTATAAAAGAAGTGCTTTCTTCTGCTTCAGATTTATAGTTTGCTTGTTTTATTTACTGTTGACATATTTCACATTTAGTATTCAGTGTCTTTTGTGCACATCACCTGATAACACTGTCTCAATCTGCTGAACAATTTCAGCTCATCTATTCTGACAAGACAGCTCTGAAGGCTAAATTTTGCCTCTGGAATCACAATAGGTGAGCTTTCTGTGTTGTCTACATTTTTAATTGCAGGAGTTTTGCTGTAGTCACCACGAAAGAACTGTTCATGGATTTTTGCGTGCATCCGTGTCTAGTAAAACTAGGTTATCACAAGGTCATCCTTGTAACATGTTTTCTTTCGATGTAACTTAAGAGAGATGCTGCCAGGGAGAATCCTTTACGGTTCTCATTAATGACTTAAACATTGATGGAGAAAAATGGAAAACAAATATCTTCCAAATGCTCCAGCAATCAAGAAATGTTCTTGTGGCTCTTACCTAAAGTACGTTCCTTTGTGTATAACAGTCATAAAAAGTGGAATTTTTTTGTCCAGATGTGTTCTAAATGGGACTAAATAGTACACTTTCCCTCCCCCGGGCTGATACAGCTGAGTTTCAAAGGTTTTTGCAATCAACAGGCACCCACAAGCCCAGTTCTCTACGCTTCCTGTCCCTTTTCAACCTGTCCTTCAGCTTCCATGGGACACAGGCACAAGACTGAACACTGATGCAATTACAATGGAAGAGCGCTTGCTGCTTGCATTTCTGGCAACTAAAGCACCTCAAAGCCACTACCCTGGCCTCTGGGAACAAGATGTGGACCTGCTGCTCTCTACTAGCTGAAACATGGGTGGCACAGGGTTTATGGTTTCATTTTCACGTTAAAATGACATATTTGCAAACTTAACAGTGAGGGTCTAGTTTTTAAATTAAATCTCAGATGAATAGTAAATCTTTTTGACACTGGGTCTCATTCTGCATTGCATAGGCTGGCCTCCAACTCTCCATCCTCCTGCCTCAGCCTCCCAAGTAGCTGGGATTATAGGAGCTAGCCAGTGCACCTGGTGTCAAGGATGTTTCTGAGCATTTGTTTTTCTGAAGTGGAGTTTTGAAGAAATATTATGTATGCACGCCTAACAATTATGAAACCAAGATAGTGATTTATGAGACTGCTTTTCCTGCAGCCAGTTTTTAGCGTTCTCACAGGATCTACCCTTAGAATGTGCTGAGGTTTGTACCCGCTGAGCACTTTATGATGGATTCGGGCCAGTCTGGCAGGAAATGCCCATCCACGTGTAATTAGGGGTCTACTCCCAGAGGGTTTGTAGGACACTAACATTCTCAGTGAAGATATGGGATAAAGGTGGAGGCTAAGAACTTGTGGTTTCCAGACTGGACCCGTAAGAAGTTCAAGGGAGACCCTGTTTTAAAGGGCACTCAAGCTGGGATTGTCTCCTGCCAGCTTATTTCTAAGTCTAGCCTCCCCAGGACTCACTATGAACACGTCCTCAGGGAACCTAATTATTTCCCTCGGTTGCTCACTGGGCGGAAAGTGTGGGTGTCTTTAGGTTCAGAGGAGCTCATTGCATACTGATCACCAACCGCCTGTTGAGCTGCTCCATCTGCTGGACTGAGCCGGATCTACGCATCCCGTCCGGGGTGGCTGCCGCTGTCGGGCGCTGCCAGGTGGTGGTGCGGTTCACATGGTCCACATAAAAGACCCGCCCATGGCTGTCAATCCGAGCTTCCCAGTCTGGTGTTCAACAAAAAGGCAAAGAGAAAAATCAAGGACAAACCACCGATCCACATGAGCAGTTACCACTCCCGGTCTCCTGTGGGTAGAACTCAACTGTTGGTTGTGACAAAAGCCAGTCACCAGCGGTATGGGATGGGGCGGGCATTCCAGCAAAGAGCCTGGGGCACCCAGACTCATTGCTGGGCCACTCTGAATGGGAATGGTGGTTTGCTGGATATGACTCGTGCTCAAATTCTAACGATTTCTAAAGAGAGAGTCTGTTTATTTCTTTTAAAAAAATCTGTTGGCTACTCAAATGACAGTTGTGGAAGACTGGACATGTCCTCAAGTGAGAGTCTACACTGTGACACTGGAGAATCAATTCTCCTTTCCTCTCCTCTCCTTTCCCTTCCTTTTCTTAGTGCGCTCTCTGTCTGTCTCTTTCTCTCTCTCTCTTTCATGCTGAGCTACATCACATCCCTTTTTAAAAATTTTAACACAAGATCTCACTAAGCTGTCAAATTTAGGGCTCAAATTTGTCATCCCCTGCTTCAGCCTCCAAGAGTTCAGGGATCGAGGTGTGTGCCACACATCTGGCTAAAAATTCTTTCTTTGATAAATCTAACAGATGGTGACTAGGTTTAGAGCTAATGGCACTTGTACTAAAACTGAGATTAATTTAATCCTTAAACCTGCAACTTCAGATGACTTTTTAAAAACGCTTATTAAGTCGCATTTTGTGCCACTCATTTTGAGAGGGTGGATGGGAGGACTTGATGCCGAAGAAAGTTGTCAAAATTCACAATGTACATTCAACCTACCTGTGGTTGCCAAATATCTCTGACCAAAAGCAAACCAAACCCGTAACGGCTATGATAAATATCAAACTTTTTAGCATGTACCAATTTGTTGATGAATAACAGAACAGCAGAGGGAGCCCGAGATAAAGATAAGGTCTTTTGCTTCTCAAAGTGAACACACAAAAAACCAGAAAGAAAAAGGCAGAAGCATTGATGATACACTGCATAGTAATGCATGGAGGGGCTACAGTGGGAGGGACGCATGACAAGGCCCCCGAGTGTGAAGGGCCGGAGATAAGCATTTCTACTTGAACTTGACATACGAGAGCAAGGTCTGCCACATTGGAATGGGTGAAGCTTTGCGAGACCACGCATAAAAATGCGGTGGCAACAGCAGCAACATGATAATGATATGCTGGGACTATGTTAGACCACAGAAGGAAAAAAGCAAACATGACTGCAAAAGGGGAAAAAACTATTCAGCCCCTTAAGTGAGAAAAGCCATAGCTTTTGGGAGTAGGTCAGATACTAATAATTCTCTTAAAAACTCATTGTTCAGGTAATGACATAGCAACTCTCAATGTTTTCAGTGAAAAAATAAACTCGGCCTATTTTTGGCTTTAAATGTATGTGGCGAATCTGTTTAGAGACACTTAGGCACGTGTCTGATCCAAGGGAATGTCAAATGATGCCTAAGGAAAACTAAAATATCCCGAGCACCAAATTTAATTTTTAAAGTAAACTGAGGAAAAATGTGGTTAGAGTGTATGGTGTGTTCTAGAAGGCTTTAGCTAAACTGGCAACCAGATAATCCAGCTGCCAAGTGTTAGTGGGAAATATTAACTAACTCACTGATGAAACTGTGTATACATGTGATTGTGTTACTTGGTAGTAATCTTGACTCAAAAATTTTGAAATTTCAGTGGCTCCCAAACTAATAGTTTCAAGCAGCTGGACAATTCTCTGCTTTGAATCAAGCAGGACTGTTGTTCAACCAAGAAGGATTACTGATTTTTAAAGAGCATCAAACTGATAACACCCTTTAGCACTTTTACAAATCAGTCACTATGCCAGTTCTTGGGACACGGAGCTGGGTACCCCACTCTCTCCCCTCTAGGTGCCCACAGTAGCTTTTCTCTGCTCAAAACCCTGCCAAGTTTCCCTTCACGAAGAGTAAAAGCCAAAGCCCTTCATGCTCTAGCAGGCCTCTCAGACTGGGCTGTAAACTTCATGAGGGCAGGGATCTTTGTCCATCTTGCTTGCCTGGAACTGTACCCAGCACTGACTAAGCATCTAACAATATTATCAAATAAATGACAAGAATAACGAAATCATTTAGGTACCATCTGAGCTTATCTAAGACAGTCTAGTTGGTACGATTTGCTAACAACTTTTCCAGTATCTTTCAGTGCTATGTGGACGGAAAACTGAACTCTATCTGGAGACTTTTTTCATGGTGCTGGGTGTCATTTATGGTAGGTAAATGCTTTACCAATGAACTGCACCCTCAGCCTTTGTAAAAATTTTACTTTGAGACAGAGTCTTACTAAGTTAGTTGACCAGGATGACTTAGAACTTGGAACCTTTCTGTTTCAGTCCTCTGCATGGCTGGGATTACAGGCCTGCATCACCACTCTGGCAAGATAAATTTGCATTAATTATTAAAAAGTGGCTTTTAATAAGTAGTTTTCTGGACCTGGAGATAAATGTATATGCACCTACATTTGGTAGGTTATTTGTTGTGGGAAAATGTTTCAGAAACAACATGATATCAATATTTTTCATGTAAGTGCTAAGAGTAAAATGTGTATAATAATGCTGAATTTTTACTATTTATGAAATATTATAAATCAATATATTAATTAATAAAGAAATCAAGCATCAAAAATTAAAGGAGATAACATTTGGTTTGGCCCCTGAAAAACAAAAATATTCAAAATTTTCTTACTGAAAAACAACTGAATAGGAAAAAAAGATAGTGTTTGTGCAAAAGACATTATTACCAATAACAGATGAATTACCAAATAATTCTTCTTTTGAAAACTGTAGCTGCTTAACAAAAGTGCAGGTAAAAGAATGTAAAGAAACTGGTTTCTTGTATCCTAGAAAGATTTTTATAGCTGTAAAAAAACCCTATTAAATCTTAAGGCTTATCTTTGGGTGGAAAAAAAATCCTAAACCCAAACAGAGATGCTTTGGAATTCATAAATATTTATGATGCTAAATGACTTTATATTATATGGGGTAGTAGTTCCTTCCTATTATTTTTTTAAAATGGAATGCTATCAAGCTAATTCTGGAATGAAACAACCTAGTTCAAATGTAACATTTAGCAGGTGAGGACATTGTAGCTTTATCTTACAAAGAAGAAAATTGAGTATCTGGGAGAGTAAATGAATTTCTTAAGGTCAGATGACTAGTTAGATAATTATTAGTTACACATCATTGTTAGTAGGAAAAATGATAATGAGTTCTATCCTAAAGATGATATTTTGCCTGGCCATCTGTAAGGACTATAGAAGAAATTTGGAACTGTTACTTACTGATTCAGTTATAGTAAGGAAAGTACAAGTTCTGGGCCCTGTGAGTTAAAGTTAGTACCTACTGCGTGGAGATACTTGTGGATAACAGATCCAATGGAGAACAACAGAATTACGCTACACAGAACAGAAAATTTTAAATGCAGGAGTAAAATTTGGGATTTTAGCCTCATGGATAATTTCCAAGTAACAATAACATTCATCAAGAAAAAAAGTAGTGTTGCTTGTAAAGAATGGAGAATGCTCTCCATTTCAGGAAATGAGGGACACTAAGAATATCTGGTTATCTTTCAAGATCACACATTGAAAAACTAGTCCAAAAATTACCATTTTTATAGTTGGTGTCATATTGTTTTTGGTAGCAGGGATAGGTATGGAGTTGGGAAAGAGTTTGGATGTTTACAAACAAATTCATACTGACCTTGTTAGATTCGACAGGAAGAGTTAAGATACAGACTGTAAAAACTAAAGCTTACTTGGTGGAAGAGGCTCATCGATTGTTGGGTAGTGGTGGTGTTCAGGCCTCAGGGAAGGAAGCTGGCTTACTGGCTGGGAATTATGGAGGATAGGATATTCACCTACGGACAAGATAGTCAAGAAATTCAGATTCATTCATTGGTAATGTCATCAAAAAAAGCATGACTGTAAAACAAACGACTACAGGAACAACACATTTAGTTTGGCAATCTATTTTTTGTGATGGTTTGATACATTCACAGTCATTCATGGCGAGGAATTACAAAAAAGAAGAAAAAGAAGAAGAGGAAGAAGAAGAGGAAGAAAAAGAAGAGGAAAAAGAAGAGGAAGAGGAAGGAGAAGGAAAAATCCAAACACTTTATGAGTAATGATGTCCACCACACAAATTCATAGGATTAGAATATGATCTGTGACCACCTGAATTTTCTTGATGGGAAGGTGTCATCAGAAAGAAATACAAGAGACAAAAACCAGAGCCTGATTTCAGCCCAGAAAAGCAAACAGGCTTGTTGGTGGGACGTGCAGCATTTGTAAGGGTCCATAAAAGCTTGGTGAGCTTGGGCAAAGCTATAACTCATCATAGGACTAGGTTAGAGGCCATCTTGCAGATTTTGGCAGCGGGGAATGAAACTTTCAGAGGTTGCCTTTTCTAGCTGGTTCAAAGAGCTTGTGACCCACAAAAGCAAATTCCTCTTATAGGGATGCTATGGCAGGGAACCTAAGGTGTTTTGGGAGCTCATGACTATTCAGACTATTTGGAGAAGGAACCAGATAAGTCATGGTGCTCTGGAAAGAGGCAGGACAAGAGACAGAGGAAGCATATAGAAAGCAGGAAGACTAAAATAGGAAAACTTGAAACACAGAAGCAGGATAGAAGGAAGGAGGAGAGACATGGAGAAATTCTAGCAATCAACATTATATCCACAGAATGCATATCCTAGGTTATTACAGACATAGCTTATGCTGTTGTCAGTTCAGACTTGTAAGGGACTTAACAAGAACGGTGTTTCTGTTTCATGATGGCCTACAGAACTAGGCGATTGCTCTTAATCTTGGACAGCTAGAAGGGCCCAGGACTCAAGACAACCTCCACCCAACTCAAGTCTGGTTTCCTCCTGCCTTGCACCCCAGTGGCCAGTGGATAAAAAATGTCCCTTTCTTTCCTCTACCTTCCAAAGCCGACACAAATAACAAGTATTCCACTACCCATTGTGTCAGAAGAGAGAGAAACTGGGACAGATGATGGTTGTGATCTTTGTGAGGTCTTAAGATGCTAGTCATTTCCCAGAATGTCCACTCTAGTTTTCCTGACCCAATCAAAAATAAAAATAAACGAGGAAGGAAGTTAAAAGAGTTTAGTGTAGTAGTTTAATTCGTAGAGGTAACTGGCAAACACAAATACAGTTGTGTTTAGGAACAAAAGACCCTCCAAAGTGTGAAAATCATGACACAGCAAATTGTTTAATATTAAACAAATCCTCTGTTCCTTGCAGATGCTAATGGAAACCAAAGAAGGTGACTCTTCTGCCATTCACAGCTCAGTGTGAACGGCTGTTTCAAACATAGCTTCTGTGTTTAAGGGCATTCTTGCTTGTTTTTCTACGTGCTCAGTGTCAGAAATTAAAGAAAAAACAGTGGTACAGTTGTTATGTCATCAGCTGCTGCATTTTTAATTTAGTTTCTTAAAAAAAATAGCAAACATCTCATTGTAATGAAATTCAACCAAACAGGTTAATTACTCCTCCAAGCTAGTGGAAATACAATCTCGCTGCTTGCCTGGGGTTAATGGAGCTGGCCCACCTGCTTGGGAACCCCAAGCAGACGCAATGACGTGACTGACAAGTCAGCTGATTGGATGGATGGAGCGCAGTGCAGAAGCAAGCGGCTATGTCCTGTACCATGAGCCAGCTCCCCACGGTTACCCTGGCCTCCAATGCGAAGCAAGAGTTCTGGCCTGGTGGAGCATCCTGGAAGGAAACCTGTTTCTCAGCTAGACATCAGAGGGGTCCTTTTCAATTCTCTTTTGTTTACAAATAATACAAAAGAATTGTAGGGAAACACAGGCTGCACTGAATATTATCTGAAGCAGTAATCTGTACCTAAAGATATGAAAATTTCCCTTAAATAACATCGTGCAGGAAATATAAAACTGAAGGATGGTTTTGGATGCTGCCAGCTCTGTGGCTTACTTTGTTAAAGGAGCGCATTTGGTAACATCTCATTTAGCGCTTCCTATACCTCTTGGGGTACATTCTCCAGTCACTTCTACTAGAGAGGGGAGCAAAATGAGGTCCCAGAGTAGTCACTTGCTGAGGACATAGTGGGACTAGATATAAACTGAGCAGCATCTAGGGCTTCAGCTCATAACCTTTCATCTACCTGTGCAAGGTTTTAAAAAACGATTCCATTTTCTTTCTTTTAGTGCTGGGGACTGAACCAAGGGCCACTGCACTGAGCTACAGCATGTATTTATTTATTTGTTATCTCTGAGACAGAATCTGGTTAAGTTACCCAGGTGACACTCAAATTTGCAATCCTGCCTCTGTCTCCCAAGTGCTTAGATTACAGGAGTGCACCATCATCCTTGGCTTAAAATATTAGTTTATATGGAGTTTTAAAAAAATGTTTTCATACAGAGTAAACAAGCAAAACAGTAGATAAAGAATACTGCTTTGTATGGTTGTTGGTTTGTACTTATAACAAGCTGACAAGGCTCTAAAATAGTCTCTAAACTGCTGCCGGTTCACCTGTATGTGGGCACTGGCACCTTGAATCTTTGTGACCCCCCTACCAGTTTCTACGGTGGACAAATTGGCAATCACACCTTTCGTTCCTGTTCCAAAAACTTTGTAGGCACTGGCTGTTTGTTTAGGTACTGAATGTTGAAATAAAAAGAAGATGCAGTTCTGGCCCTTGATGAGCTTACAATCTAGAGAGCATTCCACCATCTTTTGTGTGCAGGCAACTTTAAACAGTCAACAAGCAACATAGCATTCATATATTGCCCTTCAAAAACAATCGAGTTATATTATTGTGCAATTTGTGCATTTCCCCTATGCTACTGTCACTTGATTGGAAGATGGTTCCCAAATCTGGTTAAAGAAAAGCAGGTTAATTTAGTATATGATTCCATGGGTGTAAAAAGGAATATTTTTGGTTAAAACACACAATACATTTTAGCTACATTAAAGGTGGCTTTCAAATCGTATTAGAAACACGCTGATTTATACATGCATGATACACTCTGATTTACACATTCATGTTATTCTTTCCTTTCATCCACCACAAAAGTCAACAAGGACAACACCAACAAAACAAAACCAACAATTATAACAAGAACCGAGCAGACAGAAATACTGTAATGACAAACACGGGTAGGCGTTTTTCCATCCATATACATGGACTAAATTCTAAAACAAAGATAAAATCCACGTTCTTCAACAAACATTAACATTTACTGCTTAACCTCAACGTGTTTTGGGAAGCCAGCAAATATTTTACCCATTATCCAGCTAAGGTCAAAGCTGGAGTGATTATTTCTCAAGGATACCCTTGGGTACTAGTGTTGGCACTTGGGTTGCCGTCATTCTGGAAAGGTAACTTACACCCTCCAGTTCTGGTTAAAGCAGAAAAACATACACTCAAGTGCACACTCACATCCAACCAGTTGTACTTCGTGGCGTGTGCCCGAGACACGGTGGGGTGCCAGCGATCCACAGTCACCTACTCTCATATACACCTGGACACATGCACACATTGGGCACAACACAGGCACACGTTGCGGCTGGAACCCCCTGGGGAACCGGTCCCTCCTGTCTTGTTTTGAAACCCGCCGTGGAGACCTGCGAGCCCCGGGTGGTCCTACTCTCACTCTGACCAGGTTTGAGGTCTAACCTTCTCTCCGATGGCTCGGACCTGCCATGGGGGACTCCAGACCTTCTGCAGTTCTCGCCACCGTCCCTCCGGGCCCGGCCAGCTCGTCCTGCCACAGCCCCGCGCCACTGGTGGCCTCGGGGTCCAGCTCGGGGCTCTGCACAGAGTCTGGCACCGACTCGAAGGCGCTGTTCTCCTCGTCGTCGTCGTCCTGAGAGGAGAAGACGGTGCTCTCCGAGACCTTGGCGCTGTCCACCGAGGAGAAGCGCGTGTGGCTGGTGAAGCGGCTGCCGCCGTTGTAGCAGGAGGGGCTGTGGCAGGAGGCGCTGTAGCAGGAGGAGCTGTAGCACGACGCGCTGTAGCACGAGGAGCTGTGGCACGAGGGGCTGCAGCACGACGCGTCGCAGCCCTCGCAGCTGTGCTCACCACCCGGCCGCGGACTGGAGTCGCTCTCGCTGCCCGTGCTAGGGTGCGCGTCGCCCTCGGGGCCAGGGAGGTGACCACCGGGGTGACCGGGGATCGCCGCGCCTGGAGGGCCACCCTGGGGCTCAGCGGCGTCCTCATCCAGCGCCAAGGGCTCGGCGGCCAGCGTGTCGGCCTCGCTGAGCGCGTCCTTGTCCGAGGCGTCGCGCAGCGTGAGCTCCTCCTCCGCGCCGCCCTCCTCGCGTGCGCAAGGCAGGCTGTGCAGCAGCGCGTGGATGCGGATGTAGTGCGTGCGCGGCGTCTCGGGGTCCGCGCAGGCCGCCGCGATCACCGTCTCCAGCTCGGACACCGGCAGCGAGCACGGGCGGCTCCTCCTCTTGGCCGAGGCCCGCAGCTGCAGCGCGTGCTGGTCCTGCTCTGGGTTGGAAGGCTCGCCCTCTTCCACCTCCACCTCCTCCATCGCCTGCTCTTGCTTTTCCGCCACCATTGCTTCCTCTTCCCCTCCTGCCCTACTCCCGGGCGCCGCTTCCTCCTGTCTAGACTCCGCGGGAGCATCACCGACCTCCAGCAGCAGCGATGGTGGTGCTTCCTCATCCAGGCCGAGCCCCTCGGCCAGTTCTTCCGCACTCAGGGCTGGCTGGGTGTCTTGTGGCTCCCCAGGCCCCTCGGGTTCCTCAAAAGCCTTGCCGTGGTTGTCTGTTTCCATAGTGCAGGACCCATCCTCCATTATCCCTGCAGGCTCCAAGACCTGGCTTCCTGCACCATCCATGGCGCTGGCCTCGCTCAGGGGCTGTGTCTTCATCCTCTCGCTGGGATTGAGAGCATCTTCTGCAGGCTCCCCATGGCTGCTTCCCACCAGGCTGTTCATGAGGCTGCCCTGAGTTTCTGCAGACTCAGGCTCAGTGCTTAGTGAAATCTCTTCATCATCTGCTGGCGAAAAGAAAACTGTGTCATTCCTTCCTGAAAAGAGAATGGGAGTGCTGGTCTACTCTGTAGCAATGGAAGTTGCCTCTAAGGGGTTTCTACAGTAGGGTATTGGATATAGGGGTTGAGGAAGGTTTCTCACTGACCAGAGCCCTGGAGAAAAATTTTGTGAGAGTGAGTTCTTGTTATGTCAATGACAATTTACACTAAGTGGGTATATTGTTGTTTTTTTCTTTTTTGGTCTTGGGGATCAAACTCACAACCTTGTGCTTGCCTGGCAGGCACTTACACCACTGAGCTAAATCCCTGGCCATCAGACGGTATATTTTTGAAAGGTTTTTGTTTTTGTTTTTGTTTTGGTTAAAAGCCCCAAATAGTACTTGCCTGGCAAGTGCAAGATCATGATTTCCAGTTTAAACAAAAAAAGTCCCAAATAGAAGATGCTGGACAGTAATTGCTACATGGGAGGCCTCCAGGGACAGGGTGGTTTTTGGTCCCTTAGGATCCCTGGCAAAGTTAATTGTAACTGGTTCAGAATGTATCCTATGGATGGATCCGAAAGGGTACCTGAATGGATAAGCCTTGTTTTTAGGCAACTAGAGAGGATAAAGGGCTGGATGACAGAAAGGAGCAATCACAGTCAGCATGAGCTTATTGCAATATTAGAGTAAACAAAGTCTCCACACAAACCAGCCATTCATAGAGCTGCAGGTACTGTTAACTCTCCCATCCCCCACTGCTCCACTGCAGGATTCTCTACCTGGCGTGAATGTCTCCATTTCAAGGGCACTGTGCAATTCACTTAGGGCCACTCCAACAAAGAGTCAGTTTTATTCTCAAAAGGTAGCAAAAGGCAGATTTTTCTCAGGATAAAGCAGTCAAAGTGGCCACAATCTGAGGTGTGTAAGGGTACAGCTGGAGTTTAACGAGTTTGTCATAATAAACTATTCACTCACTTCTTAAAATCTTTACAGCAACTCATAAATGTGGCCTGAGAGAACCTAGCAAGTCTCAGCACGATCTCCATATACTCTGGGGACTATAGGAGGAGAACAAAAGTGGAAAATATTCTTATTTATAAAAATGTTTTGGCATGAAAAGCCAAACATGGGGATGATTCTGAAATTTTCTAATTTACATTTTTCAATTTTCTCCTGATATTATAGGAATTCATTGGATAGTCATAGTTCTTTAACAATATGACATTTTAAAGCTGCTGGCCACTCTACCTCCAGTTACATGCTAAAACAAAAGTTTCTCATTCACTCACTTACGTGCAATGATTAAATATCTATTGAGCATCTGCTATGTGGGTGTTGACAATAAATGCTAAATAGAACATGGCTCTGTGTCTATGTTGGCCACATTGTCAACCCCATGCCATTGAGTAACCTTCTACCTTTGGGTCACCAAGGTGAAGAAGAGCCTGTCAATCAACAGAACAGCAGCCTGGCTTCCAGAATATTCCAGTGGCTTCTAGGTCTCAAACGAAGCTAGAGAAGCACCAAACCTAAGATATGTCTGGCATAAACTGTGGTTATTGTGTTTTAGAGAAAGGAACACACTAGCTAAGACAGTAGCCTAGGACAAGATATGAGGTTCATGCTGAAAATACCTGGGTGGATGGAGGAAGTGATCTCAAATCGGAATTGCAGCTGTCCACTCACATGATCTGTTGGAAGCCTTCGGCCAAGTGTGTAGCTGACCACCCTATCCCTAGAAGGAAATAAGCACCATTACAGACCTGGTCAATGTTTCCTCTCCTATAGCCCATACAGTGTGCTGTCTATACTAGCTGCTGAGACAGGCAAGCCCCGAGAAGCTTTGGTGACAGGAGGCCTTGATCTGGCCTGGTACATAGAAGAGGATCCTAAGGTAAAAATGGAAACACAGATGTGATCCCTGCAAGGAAATTCTTAATGAATACTCCAAGACTCAGCAAACTACAGCCTCTGATTCGGGCTACCACTTGTTTTTGGATAGCTGGAGTTTCTAACATGTTTAAATGATTGGAAATAAAAACACAATCTACAGAGAAATAATACCTATGAGACATGAAAAGTGCATGAAATTCAAATTTGAGTGTCCATAAATTGCAGTTTTATTGGGATAAGTTCATGCTGATTTGCTTCTTTGTCTGTGACTACTTTCATGCTGTAGTAGGGGAGTTCAGCAGTTTGAACAGAGACCATATGGCCTTCGAGGCCTCAGATGCTTACTTCCTGGCCTTTTACAAAACAAAGTCTGTCAACTTGTGTTCCAGAGAATAAAAAGAAGAAGAAACAAAGGCAAGTCAGTATCTTTTGCTTGCTCTTCCGGTACAGACCACTATTTCTCAAACTTCCCTTTAACTAAGGACAGTGCCAGAACATGCATGTTTCAGGGTATGCATGTGACTTATGTGTAAGAGGAGGTGCCAGTAAAGTGTGATGGAGACCTTGAGGCTGCTGTGGAGATCCACCTGCTGCAGGATGGAGCAGGGAAAGGCCTGTGGGCTAAATTCACTGGTTTGATGAAATACACAGAAATACAGTGGCATGTTGGTTGACCAGCTTAATTTGTTCTACAATACTGAAAAGATGGCCACATTCATGTTTGTGCAGGAAACATGACTGTGGTCGTGTTTGTCACCTGACGCAAGATTCACAAGCAAAGACAAATTTTTTCCCAAATGTTTCTATTTGTGAATCAAATTATTGGTGAACTGAAGTACCACTATACATATATTATGCTTTGCATTTGCCTTCTAAGACTTCCTTTCCTCAACTCGACCCACAAATTTCCAGAAAAATTACTGCAGTGGATGCTAAGTGTATAGTGTGTTGTTAAATAAATTCCATCACCCAAAGTGGTTGTAAGGTAGGACCACTAAGTAATGGTTCTCTTCCAGTGTGAAGAAGAGGTGGCTGAAGTTAAGAGCCAGCTGAAGGATAGCACATTGCAGGTGAAGGGATGAAGGGAGGGCTGGAAACTGTGTGTGTGTGTGTGTGTGTGTGTGTGTGTGTGTGTAAGGCAGGGAGAAATCTATGGGTTCAGGGACATTTGTGAGGACAGAGGGAATGTGGTGGAAGGGGGTTTTACTTCCGTTCTAGAAGTGTTCTGGGGATCTGCCATGGCCGAGGCCTAGTGACTGTTATTTCTAAGCCATCACCCTCCTGTCCTGCTCCTACCTACACTGGACAGCTCCAGGATGGGGGTGTCCCAGAAGTGGCTGCAGGGGCTGTAGGAAGCTCTGGGCCTTGAGGAGTCCCTTTTCCCGGCTGTAGGGGCTGTGCGTCCTCTGGTCACAGGAGGCGGGAGGAGGGCACCTCCTTGCTTGTTGCTATTTCCCCTTAGACAGGGCTGAAGCTCATTTAGCCTTGTCTTGGTTTTTCTTTTCTCTTAGTTGGCAAGAACACTAGAGATATGGAGCTAACTTTGCGCAGGTTAAAGAACTTTCTTGTTTTCTAAACCTCAGTTGACTGCTTTCATCATTTGAGGGAAAAGTCTTCCAAAAGTTAGTCTGGGAGGGCAGGATCATGACTACAGGAAATGAGCCAGCAGCTTGGGGTTTTGAAAATACTCAGCGTGGAGGAACAGAGATGGTTTCTCTCTATGGCTACAGTGTGCACCACAGAGCAGCTCAACAGGTACTAACTGAACATCCAGGATATGCTCAGTGCTGGGGCGTGAAGACTCTGACACAGCTGGGCACGGTTGGACATGTCTGTAATCCCAGAATTCTGGGAGGCTGAGGCAGGAGAATCTTGAATCTGAGCCCAACCTGGACAACTTAGTGATTTAGCAAGAGCCTATCTCAAAATTAAAAATAAATAAAAATTAGAAAATAGTGCTGGAGATGTAGCTCAGTTTGAAGATCCCGATTCAATTCTCAGTGTGTGTGTGTGTGTATGTATGTATATTCTCAGTATATATATGTGTGTATATATATATTTACTTATTTATTTATTTTTTAAATTCCACAGAGCCTCTTTCTTTCACCCTGTATCCTGCCCCTCCTGGTAGAGTTTTATCAGTGTAAAAGTAGATAGTAGGATAAAGAAGAAACAGGAAACGAGGCCAATGATAAAACTACAAGGTGTGACTGAAAAGTACACCTAATCTTTACACATTTTTGTAACATTTATTACAGTAAAGCACACATTGCCATTACTTTCCATCAAAATATCCCCCTAGTCACACATACTTACCCATGGCCACTTTCCAAGGCATCCTGGAAGTCCTCTTTTGTGAGTATCTTTAGCTACACGGTCATGGCCTGAACTGATTCAAAATATTCACCTTTCATGGACATTTTGACCTTGGGGAAGACCAGGAATTGCACTATTCCAGATCCAGTGAACACGGCATAATGTTTCTATGAGCCTGGGTTTCTATTGAATGGCACTGGACAGTCACATTCCCTGCATTTTTGATCATACTTCATAAAGACACGAAAGAGGATTTCAGAACTGCTTCAGAAAGCAGCAAGGACAATGGGATCCATGTGTTTGAAGCAAGAGGGAAGATTTTGAGGGAAATTAGTGGTGGTGTGTCTTCTGCCATAATAAATTTTAGAAAATGTGTATATTCCCCATATGTTTTCATCACACCTGGTATACAACCAGTTCTAGGAACTCTGCAAAAAGTCTCTTAGAGTTCCTGCTCTTGGAGAGAGGTAGGTGTGCATTAGTCTCACCTGCATTTCTGGCCCTCACATGCTTTGGCTTAGAGAATTACTCCTTCTTTGGGAATTATCCTTCTAAGCTCCTTTTCTGTATTTGGAAGAACAGCAATAATGTCTAAGTCACACAAGTATTATGAGGACTATAGGGATAAGAAGGATCACCAGGTGCATCATTGTTTTCTTTGAGACAGTATCTCATCATGTAACTGGCCTTGAACTCACTTATTCAGCCCAGGCTGGCCTTGACCTCACAGCAATCCTCCTGCCTCAGCTGCCCGAGTGCTGGGATTATAGGTATGCACCACCACACTCCTTTTTTGATTTCCTAATGAGTATAAGACTCTGCTAGGTTCTTGAACAATTCTTTTTGTTTGCTTGTGTCCTATCACCATGATAGAGAAGTATAAACATTGTGTTTGACACTTATCTCAATGTATGTCAACTCTCATTAGTTTGAGAGTTAATGACGGGTATGTGTGTACACAGTTGTGCACATGCTATGAGGCTCCAAATATATACCTTTATAATAATCGTTCGTCATGCCCAAGTCATTGCAGAGAGCTTTAAGACATTCTGGAAATTCTGCATGATTTTTTGCATTCCTTTCATTCTAAGAGTTATATCATGTTGAAGCATATATTTATAGTCAAAGAACTATGTCTAATATTTGCAAATATAATTGCTGTTGCCTAAAGAACCTATAATTGCTGTTGCCTAAAGAGCAAATATTACACTCAAGGAGTTTTTTGGGTCATAGTTCATATTAATGAGAACTATGGGAGAACATGAATGTAAACGATCCCAAACGCAGAAATGTATTTTCATAAATAATTGAATTCTGCAAGTGACATAATTAATGTCTATTCATAAGAATTTATGCTTTCCAAATCATTCATTTTATCTAGTATTTTTTGCAAATACTAGCATCTTCTGAGATACTCTCCTCAAGAAACCAGTTTTTGATCTTGTTACAGAAATGTTGCTTATAACTAAATCTTAGATACAAGATAGGCATATGAATAAAATGATATTCTTTATAATAAAACAAACTTTACTATTTATATAGAAAAATGTTCCACTGATGACTTGTCTTAATACCATCTTAGAACTTTCTGATCTCTTGCATATATAACCTGGGCTACACAAGGAAAAGGCAAAGATTTATTTAATTGAATGTTGTAGGTCAGGCAATATAACTAATGGGAGGAGCCAAGGAAAGGCAATATTTTAGTTTTATTCTCTGTGAGACTATATTATTCCAGCTCCCTGGTAACCCTGTGGCTTGGCCTGCTGGGCAAAGTTCAGTGATGCTGAGGTTGCGGTCACAGGCTTACCCTATGGCATGTCTCTCCAGGAGTCTCTGGACAGGCATCGACAGCTTTCCCAAGAAGCGCTTGATGATAGGGCGACTCTTGGCAAACTTGTCCTTTACCTCAATTTCCAGCACGTCAGTGGGCAAGGACACAAAGCTGAATTGCTGCAATGGAAGAATAGGTCACATCAATTAACTTAGCGCTTCAAGGGCTGTCCAATTCCCAGTCCATCTGCTTGGAGGACGTCATTGTAAGAAAAGCCCAGCTGCCATGTCTAGGTCTAGAAATGCAGTGAGCCCTGTGTATTCAGTACATGAAGGTGGGCAGTGAGGTGCTTCCAGGTGCTCAAAAACAGTTATTCTCTGAAATACAAACAATAAAATCAGCACGAATGAAGGAGAAAGAATATCACCCAAGCCTACCATACTTGATTTGACTAAAGGTGTATCAGCCTTGAAAAAAAGCACAAATCCACTTACAATTAAGGAAATGTTCCATAAATCAACCACGTCATATTAGATTATATGATTATCATGATTATAATGATGAAGAGGTTTTCAAAAGTTTTATAATACAATATGTTGCATTTTTGAGAGTGGAAAATATAAGATCTTCACTCTCTGTTGGATGGAATGTAAATTAAACTCACCTTTGGCAAGAGAATAGGCCAGCGATGGTGAATCTTTTAGTTTTCAATTGATAAACAGCTCAGTGCAGCGTGAGTGTCATAAGTTGCCACCACTGGGACAGTATCTATTGGCATTAAACTATAATTTTCTGTCAACCCAGAATTCAAATTGTAGGGATTTTTCTTCTAGACTTTCATGGAAGTGTGCTAAAAGTACATTTTATAAGGATGTTCATTGGAGCATTACTAACAATAGGAAAAGACTGGGGAAAAAAATCTCAAACTGTTCATCATTAGGAAACTGACAAAAAAGAGGTAAATTCAATATGCACTGCCATGAAAAGACATCTGGCAAAGTAAATGAAAAAGCAAAGCACAGAAGACTATGAAGAATAGTATTCTGTGTGTGCTTGGAACTGCAGAAAATGCCTGGAGGAGTTTACTCAAAATGTGAACTGTAGGAAGTGGGCTGGGAGCCGAGGAGAGGAAGAAAGCCTGTTACATTTTCTTGCATTTGATTCTAAACTGTTCATTTTTTAAATAACACATGGTGTGACTTTTTAAATGAACTTTTTAAATGAACAACAATTAAAAAAAAGAGACTGTGGTCATCTGGAGTTGGTCTGGTCACCAACAAAAGGTAGAAAAGAGACTCAACTCAGACTATCTGGGAGGAGGAAGTCTTAACATTGACCCTTAAAGTGCCCTTAATCAAGGGCTAGAAAACAATTGGAAAATACAGCTATTTTCTTTCATTCTGACTAATTCCTAATAGTAATCTTTTAACTTTAGTTACTTTCTTTTTACAGAGATATACTATACTGGCATCCCCAATGTGAATATCTTCTCTGGTGCAGTCAGGGTGAGCTAAGGTACATGGTAGTAACAATCAATTTCCAAGGCACAGTGACTTAAGGTGGTCACATCAGATTTCTTATTCTTAAGCTTATTGTGGGCCGTTCAAGCTGCCATTATCTCAGACATTGCCAGGCAACATAACAGAGACTGAAGAGAGCTCAAAAAGCTCTTTTTTTGGTAAATAAATGTTTATTTCCAAATGCAACTCCTCATCAGACCTAGACACATACCAACCAATTCTAAGAAGCAGGGAGTATGATCCTACAGTGTACCGAAGATATACAGAGCAGAGATATTTGGCAAATAGTACTTATGAGTTTTACACGCTAAAGGTAGCAATTCTGATTTATTTTTTTAAAATGTTTTTAATTGAGACTTCTGGGAAGATGACGGAGTGATGAACAGCAGAGAAAAACAGCCTTTCTGGGATTTGGTATCCAGATGCTGGAATATATCAACACAAGGAAGAAAATAAAAAGGCAAGTGGGTCCCTGGGAGCCAGTAAGGATCTAAAGTGAGCACCGAAGCCAAAGGGGAGAATGAAGAGAAAGCCTCAATGCAGAAGGAGGCCATAAGCGGTGCTTTCTCTCCGAGCCCTGACTCACCTCATGGGATGACTGGCTTGAGCCTGCCGAGGCACAGTGACTACTGGTAACCCAGAGATCTCCACAGAAAAATGTACCAGGAGAACAAAGCAGTGGACCCATTTGGCTGTGGTAGCTGGTAAGTTATCTGGGTTCAGAGGTTCCCCAGGAGAGGGCAAATGGCCAATGGTCAATGGCCAATGGCTAATGCCCAATGGCCAATTAGCTTGGAGAGGGACCAACTGAGCTGGGAACTCAAAGCAACCTGAGGCTGGCTCCATCTAGTGGTCCCCAGTGTCAGGATAAGGTGGAACTGAGTTCAATGGGCAGAAGGTCAAGGAGTTGAGTTCAAGCCAACAGGCAGAATATAGAGTGTTGCAGGCTGAAAAAATTCAGTTCAAGCTTCAGAGCCATAAGCCAGCCTGATCTTTAGTGGAACTAAAGATGTAGGCTTGCTAGGATTATCCACTATGTTGCATAGGGGCTAATCAACATGGATCTGGGATCTGGTACCCAACTCTCTCTATCGGGAACAGCAGAGACATGCCTTAAAGTGGAGATCTTCTCTTCTTTTCAGTTTTTGTCTTTTTTATTGATTGTTTTTATATAAGTGTAAACATCATTTTTAGTTTTTTGTTGTCTGTTCTTTTTTTTTTTCCTTCTCTTTTCCCTCCTTTCTTCTTCCCAGGTTCCCAAAGTTCCCATCATCTTCCTTTGTAATTTCTTCCTCTTCTATTTCTCTATTTTTCTCCCTAATCTTGTAAAAATTTTCTCCACTGAGGGTAAAATTGTCATATTGAGGGCATATTTACTACATACAATTTTCTGATTTCTTTTAGATTTTGTTATACAACCGTAAATCTAGTTCATATGGTTGAAGGTCGCAAAATTAATAGCCACTATAGTTTGTAATTTTCAAGGCTTCATTTGATATTATTGTTATTACTGATTGTACTAATTTAGCCAAAGTGACACAGTTGGTCTAGACAGTTGTCCTTCCTACTATGCCAAGACTGACGTAGCCTGAAGGCCATAAACAATGTTATAGGCCAGTACCAAAGAACCAGAGGATAGGCCTAAATAGGCAGCAACTTCTCTTTTGCAACAAATTTAAAACCTAAAAGCCAGCTACACCTTGAAGACACAACTGAGAAGCAGTGATTGCCTAAGAATTCTTACCACTAGCATCAAAGTTACCTGCCAGAAATAACTTACAAGCATCAACCCAGATTTAAGCTAAAAGAAATAGAAAGTGAGAACACAAAAAAGCAAGATGCATCCCAGACTTTCATTCTCACCAAAGGCAAACCCCATGGGCAATGAGGTGGAACAGTTTGAAAGCCACCCACCTGGATTTCAGAAGTGGTAACAGTGCAAGTAACAAAGCAGTTGAATAAGGCTCTATAAAAAAATAAAATTAGAAGTAATTTCTCAGATAACTACTGAGATGGGGATTGTAATGAAAGATATTACTAGTGATTCTAGAGTAGATACAGATAAAAAACATAGGAGTTTAGGAAAATGATATAAACCATAAATGCCCAACATAGGAAGGAAATGGAATTCATGCAACAGATTCAGATACCCAAAGGATTAAAAATTCCACTGAAAGTGGATGCAGCAGAACAAGCCAATGTGAAGACAGACTATCAGATATGCAAGGCAGAACTGTGGTTAGTGATCATGAAAAGAAACATTTCTCAAAAATAGCAAGGACCATGACAATTCAGCTAGTATCTGCTAGATGACACAAAGAAGAATGACACACAATTGATTGGAATCAGTGAAAAAGCAGGGCATAGCTTAAACAACATAAAAAACCTGTTCACAGAATTAATGTCAGAAAACTTCTCAAGCAGAGAAAAAGAATTTGACATCAGATAAGTGAAGTATGGAGAACTTCAATTAGCTGATTCAAAAAATATATTAAGATTCCAGAAATTTAACAAAAATAAACAATACTAAACACTGCTAGAAAAAAGAAACAAATCGCTTATATAGGAAAATTCATCAAAATCACTACCAACTTCTCAACACAAACCCTCAGGTCAGGAAGAGTGACCTGACCCTCAGGTCAGGAAGAGTGTGAAGTATTTCAAGTCCTGAAAAAAAATTTCATCCAACTCAGATTGATGCACCCTGCAAAACTAATTTTCAAAATCTGTGAAGAAATAAGATACTTCCATGAAAAAGAATAACTGAAGAAATTCAAACTAGCTCTACAAGATGTTCTGAAGGATATTTTATAAAGAGATAATGAAGACTACCATTCAAAGAACATCAAAAGAAAGAAGCTACCAAGTAAGCCCAGCAGTTAAACAGAGGCAAAGCACAGGAAACCAAAGCAGGAAAATAACATGACAAGTATAAGTCAATACATGTCAGCTACAACCATCAGTGTATGTGGTCTCAGTGCACCAATCAAAAGAAACAGACTGGCAGAACAGATTAAGAAGCAAGATCCAACAATATGCTGTGTAAAATAAACACATTCAGTTCAAAAAGAAATTCATAGACTAAAAGTCAAAAGATGAGTTGACAATATTCCATGTGAAGGAACCCAGAAAAAAAGTAGGAGTAACTATTCTACTTGCAGAGGCAGAGGATTTTAACCAAAACTGTTTAAGAGAGATGAAGAAAGTCATTATATCCTTGTACATGGAACAACCCAAGAATAAGAGATAATAATCATAAATATATATGCACCAAATTCCAGCACACCTAATTATATAAAAACAGATGTTAAACAAACATAAAAAGCCAAATAAACACTAACACAATTATAATGGGAGATCTCAACACCCCACTGTTAGTAATAGATAGATCAGCTAGACAAAAATATCAACAAAGAAATATCAGAACCAAAATAAACTTTCAAACAAATGGACTTTGCTGATGCCTTCCAGGGAGCCACCCTATAATACCAGAATACACATTCTTTTCAGCTGTGCACAGAATGTTCTCCAAAATAGACCACATACTAGCTCATAGAATATGCTTCAGTAAATGCAAAGGAATTTAAATTATCCCATTCATGTTATAAGAATATAGTGCAAAATGGAATTGCAAACCAATGGCAAAAGAAACCACAAAA